GAGTGGGGCGTGACATGTGTGATGCAAAATTTCCCTTGGCCTCAAGATGCATTCAGACCAAGCGATGGCGTCCGTGTCAAGGGTGGCAGATTTGCATATGCACCATCTACACTACCCTCTGAAAACCGATGCATGCTGAGCTTTGATCAGTTAACCGTGCTGAGCATGGTTCCTTATGACCGTTTACACACCATGCAAGAACCTCCTCCTAGAGATGAGCTACCATACTACTGCCCTCTAGAGGTAAACAAGCAAACCAACATGACTAGACTTATAAAATTCAGGAAGTTATGTTTTAAATTCATTATGATATTTCATTGTTTGCGGGGAGGCGGGTGAAAAAGGCGGCCTCTGTGAATTTACTTGACAGGGTCAGCTTTTGGCAATTGGATACGACAAACAATAGTCTAATCAGGGCTTACAGAAGCAGGAAACAACGACGGACGTTGAGGTTCATCACACTGCAGAGCAGAATCATCACTGGAACTCATGTGGCATGGTAGGGAAGCTAGTATTTCTGTGAATGTCTGAAATTTCATGATTAAGGAAGCTGACTGTAAGGAGATGACGCGGTCTGCTCATGCGCTCCTTGTTATCTGAGAACTGAGCCAGAACTGAGCCTTGCCGATCCCTACTGCTAAACTAGTACTAGTTTAGAGCGGTTTGGCTGTGCCTGGCGCAGTCCGGTTCATGTGGCGTGCTCCTTACACTCAACGGTTATCTCGGTTACCGTGCTTGGACCGTTGAAAATCCCCTTCATGTGGTCCAGGAGGGAAAAAGTTTTTAACTTTTAAAATGTGTTCATTTTTGTTTGTATGGAAATAAAATAAGTGACACAAGTGTGTGTGTCAGAATGTGTTCCTAATAAATTCATAGTCTTTATTTAGATTAGACCAGTGGTTCCCATGTTGGATTGAGAACTAAGTTGTATAATATGACATTGTGTTTTTGCGCCCTTGTATGGCTGCAGCAAGGATGTGTGAAAGGCCCATAAAAAGAATGTTTGTTTCCCAAGTGGACAGATGTTCCTTTTAAAAGTAATAACAGAATAAGGCTAGAGAAGCTCCTTAGAAATACAGCCACCTTTAGCAAAACAATTATAGAAAAAGAAAAAAAAAAATCATTACACTCTGTGGCTGAGTGTAGTAGCATCCATTCAAATTTCCCTTTCCTATTCAAACGCCAGCCGAATGGCAACCCACTTCCCTGAAACTCCCTGCAAAATCCTCTCCAACTTCCAGCCACTGGAGTGACCCCCTCCTTCTCCTGAGCGTGCATATTTTTTTTTTATCTGACTCCACACTTTCACTGAATTACAAGGGTCTGATCGGGAGATAATTCTTCTCTTTAGATCTTAATGTCCACAAATCATGAGAGAATATTTTAGTACAAAGTTTGATGTTTAAAAAGGAGTGGTAGGGGACCAGCCAAGGACCCACCCAGAGCCCATCAAGGAAAGTGGGGAAAATTTGAATGGCTACTACTGTAATTGTTAGGCTTTTAACAGCACATGCTGGTTGTTTCATTTAACACAGCACTAGAGAGGAGTAAATCTTACACTGGAGCTTTAAGCCTCCAGTTCGATGTCAGTGTTCATTAGGTCCTTTGTTTTGATTCATGTCTCCAA